CCCCGCGGCCCCCCGCGTCCGCCCCCCCCCCGCGCCGGGCCCTCCCCAGCCCCGGGCCGGGCGCCCCGCAGGCCCGGCGCCGACTCGGATCTGCCGCCAGCCAGCGCCGCGCCGAACTTGCGAAACAACAAACAGCCCGAAATGTCGGAGTCGGCGGCCGCCGGGCCCCCATCCCTCCCTGGCGAGCCTCAGGCCCGGCCCGACCCGGGAGGGGAGGGGAGGAGAAGGGAGGGGGCGCCGCCACGGCAACTTGTTCCGGGCCCGCGCGCCCCACACGCACACCCGAGGGACACACACACACACACACACACACCCTGTCACCGCCCCCTCGGGCGGCCCCGGGCCCCGTGCACACACTCAGCCACGGCCCAGGCGCGCACCACACTCGCAACATTCCCGGACACGCAGCCAGCACGCACGAACACACTCACATCCGTTCCAGACACGCTCCTACACACGCATTCCCGGCACACTTGGCATTCACTCGGACCCGCGCAGCCCCCCGGCGGCGCACACCACCAACCCCAGACACTCCCATACGTACACATTGCGCACACGGCGCACGGACACACACGTTCCGGACCCGTTCCCACGCCTTCACACACGTACACGGATCTCACAAGCACACACACCGCACACGCGTTGCCTGCTCCACACGCGGGCTGAATCCACAGAGCACTCTTCGCCACACGCAGAACACAAACACACGAGCCATTCTCGGACACACAGCAAGCAACATTCCGGGCTAGGGCACACAAAATGCCCACAAATGCAACACATTAACAGACACAACTCCTGCCACACAACCAAACTCAAATGTATAAACAGGCACACAATCCTACTTGGCCCCACACACACTACACAGTGGCAGAGACACAAGACACTCAGCGCACACCCCATGCCTCCTCGATGCACACAACATTCACCTCAACATACTCGTGGACACACAACACACACAGCACCTCTTCTTGCACATAACTCAGGACACACACCATTCGCAGGCACACAACACCCTGAGCACACGATCGCACATCCAACACCCAGACACACAGGGAGCAGGCTCGCAACGTCCGCTCACCCAACACTCCCACTTTCTTTCGAGCTACGCCACGGGCGCCGGGGGCTCCGCGGGGCAAGCTGGGTCCGACCGACTCGCGCTTACCTGCCGGAGTCTCGGTCTCGGGCGCGCAAAGCTGGAAGGTGAGCGCCAGGACGAGAGCCTGGGCGCGGGCCATGGTGCGCCGCAGCCTGCCCCGGGAGCCCGGCGCGGGGGGCGCAGCCGCCGGAGCCCGAGCCTGGCCCGAGGCGAGCCAGAGCCGGAGCGAAGCGGCGCGGCGCGGAGCGGGACTGGCGCCGAGTCCAGAGCGGGAGCCCAAGCAAGCGGGGCGCTGACGTCAGGCTCGGCCGCGCGTTCCTCGGTCTCGAGGCGCCCCCTGCTGGCAGCCGCGCGCGCCGCTGCCCGGTTCGGTGGCCCGCGGCCCTGACGCGCCCCTCCCCCACCCCCGGACCCCCTGGAGATCCCGGGCTGGGCCCGGACGCCCACCAGCCTCTGCACCCACCGGGCACCGACATTCTTAGGTGAGCAGGTCCACGCCTCTGCTCACTGCCCGCGCCTAGCTCCCGCACAGCTCTCCAGGACAGAGACCAGGGACACCCGGCCTCTCAGTCCCATCCAACGCTTGAATCCCCTCTACCTAGATCCCGTCAAATGCGCATCCATACATACCTCCAAGGACAGGGAGCTCATCACCTACCAAAAGCGGTGGTGGGGTCTTTGGGAAAGCTGGCTTTTAACGTCGTTCATAGTATTCCTTTACCATCCTTTTAAAGTCCATGAGATCCGCAGTGATGTCCCCCCTTTCATTTCTGATATTAGTAATTTGTGTCCTCTCTCTTTTCTTCGTCTGGCTAGAGGCTTATCGATGTATTGATCTTTTCAAAGAACCAGCTTCTGGTTTGGCTGATTTTTCTCTATTGATTTCCCATTTTCCATTCACTGATTTCAGCTCTAATTTTTGTTATTTTCCTGCTTCCTTGGCATTCAATTTGCTCTTCTTTTTCTAGTTTCCTAAGGCAGAAGCTAGTTTAGACGATCAGTTGCAGATCTTTCTTCTTTTCTCATATACGCATTCAGTGCTATAAATTTCCCTCTGTGCACTGCTTTCCCCACATCCCACAAATTTTGATAAGTCGTGTTTTCATTTTCATTCAGTTTTCACTCAGTTTGAAATTTTAAAATTCCTCTTGAGATTTCTCCTTTGACCCGTGTGTTAATCTGCAAGTATTTGGGGATTTTTCAACTCTCTTTCTGTTATTGAATTCTAGTTAATTCCACTATGGTCTGAGAGCAATCACTGTACGGTTCTTTTAACTTTGTTAAGGTGTGTTTTGTGGCCCAGTAGGTGGTCTATCTTGGTGAAAACTCCATGTGATCTTGGGAAGAATGTGTATTCTGCTGTTGTTGGATGAAGCAGTCTTTAGATGACCTCTATATTTAGTTGATTGATGGTGTTGTGGAGTTCAACTATGTCCTTTCTGATTTTCTGCCTGCTGGAAATGTTCATTTCTTTTTATTTATTAAGTTAGTTATTTACTTACTTATTTCTGGCTACATTGGGCTTCGTTGCTGTTCATGGGCTTCTCTGGTTGCGGCGAGTGGGGGCTACTCTTCGTTGCAGTGCACGGGCTTCGCCTTGCGGTGGCTTTTCTTGTTGCGGAGCATGGGGTCTAGGCGTGCAGGCTTCAGTAGCTGTGGCATGTGGGCTTCAGTAGTTGTGGCATGCGAGCTTCAGTAGTTGTGGCTCATGGGCTGTAGAGCGCAGGCTCAGTAGTTGTGGCGCATGGGCTTAGTTGCTCCACAGCACGTGGGATCCTCCCAGACCAGGGCTCAAACCCATGTCCCCTGCATCAGCAGGTGGATTCTCAACCACTGCGCCACCAGGGAAGTCCTATGTTCATTTCTGACAGAGAGATGTTGAAGTCTCCAACTGTAACAGTGGATTCAGCTATTTCTCCTTGCAATGCTGGCTTTTAAAAAGTTCTTCCTCTTTATGCCGTGAAATCTGCCCCCCTCACTGACTCTCATTGATTCTAGTCTATCCCCTGGATACACAGCTTAAGTCCATTTGGGCATCTGCCCAGTATAAGCTCTTGTACAATGACCACAAACTAGTTGTCCACTAGTACATAAGACCAGGCACCTTCTATGTGCTTCACCCACATAGACTCATTTAATCCCCACCACTATTATTCTCATTACACAGTTGAGAAAATTAAGGTACAGAGAAAGAAAGTGACTTTTCCAAGGTTATGCATAGTATGCAGCAGCACCAAGATTTGAATCAAGGCCATCTGGCTTGAATTGAATAGAAGCTGAGACCTGTCTTCCATATGGAACAAATCAACGAACACTGGATACTGATTCATCTGTTCAACACTTACTCTAAGCCGAAGTGGAGACATAAAACAGACAAAAATCCCTACCCTCACGGAGCTTATATTCCAATGGAAAGACAAGAACAATAAACAACCCAAAAAAAGCAAATTCTCTGGTATGTGAGACAGTAATATACTAGAGAAATGGGGGAGAGAAACAGTAAGGGGGAAGGGAATTATTGTAGTTTTAAACAGAGCACCTACTATATGACATATTCATTATGTGTCTGCACCTCTAGAACATGAGCCCCCTAAGGGCAAGGACTCTCTCTTATATCCCACTGCTTGGTATCTGGCATGTAGTCAGCACTCAATAAATATTGAATGGATGATTAGATAAATGAATGAATGTAGACATGGTTCTTGCCTTCATGAAGCCTATATTTTAGGGAGAGAGACCAGTAGCAAACATGCAGAGAAGAGACAGAAAGCATCATCCAGAAAAGGAAACTCAAGGAGAAACATCTGATGAAAAAAAGAAACAACCAAGGATGCTGCTGTTTCCAGAGGACTCTTGCAGGAGCCTCATGGCAGGAGTTTACCATCGGTCCTATTTGGAGGGATGTAGAAACTGAGGCTCAGAAAGCATAAGGCACTTCCCCAGGGTCACACAGCTAGTAAATGGTGGGCTCAGAGCTCAGACCTAGATCAGCCCGATTCCACAGCCCTCTGCTTTTTGTGCAGGGGAAGACTGTGGACAGAGACTGTGATGGAGGGAGAAAAGGAACAGAAGTAACAGATGGACAGATGGAAAAAGAACATTCTGCTCCACTTGAAAAAGACCACAAGCTTCTATAATCCTTGAGAGAAGAAGGAAGGGAAACAGAAAGTCTTGGCCTGGAGTCACTGGCCCAAATCTAGGGAAAAGGAGATGGTACCACAGACAGGGCCAGGCCATGAGGAAATTCAATCACTTTCAACTCATGGAATATTCATGACACCTGCCCTGTGCCAGGCCCCATATTGGGTGCTGGTGTCATGGAGATGTGCTAAACATGGCCCCACTCTTGCCTGGAGGGGGAAATGGCACATAAATAAATATGAGACTTTGTCCTAAAGGTCATAACACCAGTCCAAAGAAAACACAAAGGCAGCAGGGGTTAACTCAGCCTAGGGGAGTGGAAAACAACATCAAAGAAGGGATATCTGAACCTGGAGTTTCCTAGACAGGCAAGGCAGGGAAGAGCATTTCAGGCAGAAGGAGCAGGCTGAATAAGGGCACAAGACATGGAAGTACTGGGAAAGATGGGTGTCAGGTATGGTGGCATCATAGTCTCTACATGGCCCAATAGCAGGAGATAAAGACAGTGTGGAAATTGGGGTACAAAGGGTCTTAAATGCAAGGCCAGGACAATTGGACCTGAACCTTTCACTCAGTGGTTCTCAAACCGTGCCCCTGCGGAAACCCTGGTGCTCCTCAAGCCAAGCTGAGGCGTCCTACGGTTGAATTAAAATCACAGCCATATTTTTCTAATTTGCAAGAAGGTAGATTAATTACAACAAGTAGAAAAGTTTTTGTTGTCATTTTAAGGTGTTTTTCCTCCATATATTTTTCTGAAGAATTTAGAACGTGTTAGTAGTGTGAGAGAATGTTAGAATTAGCATAGAATCATAGAATTATTTACAAGTTTAATATATCAACAGTTCACTGTGTTCTACAAAGAACTGGAGTTTATGGTTCTCCCTGAGTATTGAGGAATCATGGAAGGACTTTAAGCAAGGGAAAAACAAAATCTGGTCTTTCTGTTAGGGAAAAAAAAAAGTCGTTCTGGAGGCCTGAGAAAGAAGGAAGTGGGGAGGGAAAAAGAAGGGAGAGAATCTCAGGGAGAAGATTGTTGACACAGTTCCACGGAGAGCTGATGTCCTGGGCCTATCAGGATGGACAGGAGACTAAGTCCAGCCCCCAAAGAGGAAGACCTGCTGGGTAATTCTCCACGCTTCCTGGCTAAGATGCCCAGGAAATTCAGAGGAAACGATTTAGTATAGAAGATAATGTCAACAGCTCAATGTCACCTAGTGAGTCTTCCAACAGAAGTACAACTGTGGGTCACTGTGAAAACAGAAGATAGGCAAGACTGGGTATTTGTGTGTGTGTGTGTGTGTGTGTGTGTGTGTGTGTATTGCAGGACCAAGTCTTTCTCCCACCATGAACACCAACTTTCTCTAATAATAAAAATAAGTACAAACACTTTTTAAGCATGTACTATGAGCCAGTCTAGATGTTCTACATATGATGTTTCTCATTTAATCTTTACAATAACCCCCAGGAACATTTATCAAATGCTTTCACGTGCCAAACATTGTGCTAAATGCTTCAAGTGAATAATATCTCACAACAGCCTTGAATCAGATACTATTATTTCCTTCCTTTTACAGGTAAGGAAGTGGAAACACAGAGAGGCCAGGTGACTTGTCCAAGATCAAATGGACTTGTCCAAGTCCAGTGGCAGAGCCAGGACTCAAAGCCAAGTTTGCTAGAATGCAGCACGTGCACTCTTCATCGTGACATTTTCTTTTCTTCCTCAGAGGAAAGGCTGTAAGTTGGCAAGTTTTGGGTCAATAAAATCCAATGAAAGGAATTCTTCCTTATCCTTTGAAGTCCTGGTTCAGTGTTTCTCAAGTTTGTTCCCCAGGCCACCTCCATCAGAATATTCTTGAGAGCTTCTAAGAAATGTAGATTCCTGGACCCTTCCCCAAGATTCTAACTCAGTAGGTCTGAGATGAGACCTCAGGTGAGTTTCATGCATATTGAAGATTTTGAGTCACAGGACTGGCTCCAACAGTACTCCTTCCAAGGGTGCCCACCCCCACCCCAATCCCAAAACACCTCTCTCCTTCAGACTCCAGCAGTGCCCTCTGTCATGTCGTAATATTCAACTGGGGTGTTAGTTACGCTCATGTCTTCCTTCCACAAATAATATGATCTAGCACCTTTCCTGGGCTACACCTTTTTACCCATTGTCCCATTCAATCCTACTGCACCCTGAGCATTCTGAGAGGGGACCCTCCTTCTTATGATTCCTCCCTTGTAATCTGAGCATACTTGGCATTTTACAATGTGCTATCCAGTCCACGACAACATTATTCTGTTGTTCTATCCAATCCTTACAACAATCTTGAAGGAAGTATATTAGCCCCGAGGAGAAAACTGACTCACAGTTTCAGTCACTTGCCCGAGATGGCCAAGCTAAGATGTGGAGGGTCTAGGATGTGAACCTAAATCTTCTAACTCCAAACCCAGTACTCTTGCCTCTATATCAGCTTACATCTACTCTACTTGGTGTAGGGATG